TACGTTCCCACCAAAATATGGTCTTTAAAAGTGGTTCAAGTAAAAATGTTTTCAGAGAAGCATCACAGAAAATAAAATATCTTGGAACAGCTAGTTCTGTGGGAAATAACATCTCACCTGTAATTTAATAATAAAACAACGCTGTTGGAAAGTACATTTCCACACCCGAGAGAATATCGTTATTATGGAAAATTGAGTAATTGGTGTCTAATCTTGTTTTTTTTCTCACCTTCAGTTTTGTAGTCCCATTCCGGGTATTTCTGAGCCGAAACAGCGATGAACAACAACAGCAGAAAAGCCAACTTCTCCATCATTCCCTGCAAAGGACGAGGCTTCACGTGAACAGATTCTGTACAGATACTGGGAGCCCTCAACTCAAACAGCTAATCAATCGCTGAGACCTCCCCCGAGACCAACTGTACAAAGCATTAACTGAAATACAGTAGGACTCCCATAAGTCTGATCTGATCAATCGTTTAATCGTCTAAGTCGTACATCCAAGTCCCGTTCAAGAGTTTACATTCTGTGCAGGTTTGACATAACTCATACTTTGCATAAGTCATATTAAATGTGTGGTCTCAACCGATACGACTTTTATGTGAGATTTACTTTAATTGTTTCACATTTTTTTATTTTTATTGATTTAAAAAAACCCTTAGCTTTTATCCCATCGAGAAAAAAAACATAGGTGCTCTTCAAAACTGCTTTAAAATACTGTCTTGTTTGGTCACAACTTGCAGTTATTATATATATATATATATATATATGTGTGTACCGTTAGTGGAAAGCAAAAAACGTGTTACAAAACATATTCCTAAAAAAAAACTATCACAATTAAAGGCAAAAAAATCTTTTTTTGGTTGTGTGTGTGTTAGAGAGAGAGTGATTTAAAGTTTAAATGACTGACAACTAAAGGAAAAAACAATCTCACAGTAGCATTCTTTTTTTCCGGGTATGCAAACAGTGATTTAAAGTTTGAATGATTAATGTGAGTGAACTTACTTTGCGTGGTTTTCCTTGCTACTCTCTGCGTTTCTCCTGTTCACAGGCAGCGAGTCCCAGTTGCGTCTCTCCAGCACTTTTAAGCTCTCCAGACTGAGATACACTGGCTCTTGTTAAAATCCATTCCCTTGGAGGATGGCCAAGGTAAATACACTGCACAACCACAAACCAACAGACCAGTTCGTCCAAGACGCACCGTGTGTTTGCAGAGGCAAATACATACTAAAAATACTTAAAATACTAAACACTAAACTCTCTTGAAAGATGCTTTCCAGAGAGGAGAGAGAAAAGCACGATAATCAACACACATAGTTGTTGTTTCTTTTATGTTTTGGCTCAAACTTCTTTGAGAAAACTTGCCTGAAGTTTCGCAGACCTTCTCTGGGATAAGTCTGGCAAGAGACCCGACAGGGGAAATCCTCATAAACCCCACAGGAGTCTGCATCACCCAGATAATAGGAATAAAATACAAATCAAATCTAAGTGGAGCTCAGAAACTTGGCAATAATTTGAGCAGCCGTGCACTGCACTGTCAGAGGTGCTCAAACGTTGTGCTTCTTGTACTCTTGTCTTCTTGGTTCAATGGCATTATTTTGAAAAGGTGCAGGGAATTCTCACAAGATCACAGAATATCTATCACCAAAGGGTAGGGTGAAGAAGGGACTCCCTTTATTTTTTTTAATTGTTTTCACCCAAAGGGCAGTGGAAATCTTTGGATGCTGGATACATTCAAATGTTCAAGACAGAGGTGGATAGATTTTTGTTAGGTCAGGGTATCAAGGGATATGGAGCAAAGGCGGGTAATTGGAGTTGAGGTACAGATCAGCCATGATCTAATAGAATGGCAGAACAGGCTCGAGGGGCTGAATGTCTCCGCCTGTTCCTATGTTCCTTTGGCCCATTTGATCTCATCCTTCCAGGATATCTACCCTACTGCCCACCCATTACAGCAACAATCCGTTTCTTAAATGAAACCAGTGTCCTACCTCAACCACCGTTTCCTGGTAACCTATTCCAGTCACTAATCACCCTTCTGTCCCAGCGTCAGGTCAATCCCCCAATTCAGGGTGAGCCAAACCATACATGCATTTCTCTGTAAAAACGGTCTCTGCTGCTGTCCACTGAATGTTCCAAATATGATTCCTTACATTGTGGTTTCCAGTTAAATCTATAGGAATTAATTTATAGCAGTCTCATATTGGTTAGAGCACTCGCCCCGGAGGGGAAAAACCTTAGTCAAGTTCCCTTACTCCACACGCCTGTTTACTGAGCACTAAGTAGGAACCTAGTTGTTAAGGTTGATTGGCAATTGTGTATCTGGGGGTAATAATCCCTTAAAATAAAATTTAGTCACTCAATCCACGACTATTTGTGGGACACTGCTGTGCACAATTGGCTGTCATGTTTCTCTCATAAAGTATAGTCAATTCACTTTATAGTATATTCTGTGAAACTCTTTAAGACATAGAGTGCTATATCAAATGCAAGATTATTATAATAATTTGTACCTCCAATAAAAAGCATTCCTGCTGCTTCTTCAAATCTGGTCTTTGACTTGAAAATGTCTTTGTTTCTATATGTGATGCATTAGGAGCATTTACTTCACAATTTAATTATGTCGAGGGACATGATGAGCAAATAAAAACACAAAAGGGATTAGTCCTAACATTAGCATTTTTCACCATGCTGAGAATTCTCAAATAAATTCTATGTAGAAAGGAAATGCATTCCTAATATTTTTAAAATTAAAATACATTGTTCTCTGGGGGTTTTCACCGCATAAATGAACCGCTTCTCTCGACTTGAGCCCATCCTGTTCCAGTTTACCCTTTCACCAGGTCAACTGAAATCCAGCATAACTGAGTTTATTGGATCCGTCACATATGCTGCTGATGGAATTCATTCAGACTGCAGGTGGGGAGAAACTAGAGACCTCTTTCCGTTCAGCCCACCCACATTCTGATAAGAGTAAGAGGAACACTACTCCTTTATGTGCTGTAGTTTCATTTTATTTGTTGATTTGCAACATTATAAATGTCAGCACCACACCAGCATTGCCATATTCAGTACAGCTTCCATTTTCCCCAGAGTTCCTCCATGGTGTCTTGGCCTCAAATCTTCTTGATAAATTCGTTGTCCATTTCACTTTGTCTGTTTGTGGGTTTTTGTAGTGTGCAATCTGGGTGCTGTGTTTGCCAACAGTCACTACACTTGACAGAAATCACCCATGAGGCACTTTTGCACTGTTTAAATATTATAGGCACTGTACTGAATGCAAGGATTTTTTTAAAGCTCACTCAGCACATTAAAATGATGAGAAACAATGTGTAGCTGTGTTCAATTGTTCTTATCAAAGCTGGAATCTGAACTTCGTGCCTTGACCTCACAATCTTAAATGGTTTCTCAAACGTGCCCGAGGCCAGTAATTATCCTCTCCTCCCCCCATGAAATCAAAATGATGGTCATATTTTTTTAAATAACAAAAGCATTGAAGTTAAACAAATATCGCAACAATTGGTATAGAATATTGCGTTGTAGAAAACTGTTTGATGTGGTGAAAAAGCATTCCTGAGTTTGATAGTCATGAATGGTTTTCACATCTGGATGCTGCATGAACTCAATATCACTGGACTTGTCGAGACTGAAACACACCAGTGAAATCGCATAACCCCAACAACCTTAAATGGAAACTACTGTAAACAAGTGGCTTCGGGGACGATAACCATAAGCAGTCAGTACGAACAGACAAATATGTGCTTTGAAAGGGAAGAGTGATTGTTTCTTTCAAGTTGTTTATATTTTCTTTCGGCTATCAAAACGTCCTCTGTAAACTTTTTGAGTCCAGGATAACATAAAATAGAATTTACAGAAAAACAAAGAGTTGTTCTTATTTTGCAACACTGTCTGAGTATGTATAAAAACTATTTTTCAGGAGAAGTGAGAGAACCGAAAAGTACAAGACTAGTTAAAGAATTGGATCGATAATCCTGGGAAGATGATTTTTGAAGTGTTGGGATACTGCACAGAAACGTTTACATAATTATTTTCAAGGCAAGGAGTAAAATCAATCACGTAAACCTGTAAACCCAATAGCATCGGGGGGACCACATCCTTGAGTCATATTAGGTTTTGCATTTCACTTACAACATCTAATGTGATGGATGATCATCAAAACAAAGAAAAAAAGGGCTTCACTGCAGAGTGTAATCAATAGGTGTTTTCTAACTCAATTTACCTGCATTCCCACTATTACCTCATTGGTTTACCCGCAAGTGACAGGGTTTAAAAAACACACTATAAGAACAAGAGAAGGTACTCAATGTCAGCTATTAGTAACATTCTTAATACACAGGACCTGCCTACACTGCGTTATTTTTCCCACTGAAGATTACACTAGACTATAATTTGATTAGATCACTCTCATCAATGTATTGCTAACTTCTTTGGCACATAATATACAAAACAATTGTCTACTTTTGTACTGTATATTTATTCCACCATCTCACCAACTCTAATAAATACTAGTCTCTGTAACTCATATCTCAGCCAGTAAATAGCACCAGAGATCCAGCATATAATGTAATGCAGGTTTTCTGTTGAGAATCTTTTTCGATTTATTCTATGATTTTACTGATGGGTTATGTGTGCGTGTGTTCATGCATACACGATGCCTAAAATAAATCTAGAGAACCTACCNAAAAAAACTTACTGATGAGGAATGATGTCTGACAAAGGATTAAAATCACCAGAAAAGTAGGTATACACCATCTGTATATGTAGCAATTCCATAATCTTCCTCTACAGAAAGAGGAATATTCTGCACATGTGTGTTGACTCCCATAATCAGCCCAACGAGGGTTGGTGGGACCATTCTCAAGATGGGCAGAAAGTCAGTCAAAATGCTTCAAATTTAAAATTTACCTCCAATCCCCATTTCTAGAGTGACCGTGACACTGCAGTAGTCTATCCTTAATAACCACACAGGAGTAAACACTGAGTGTGTCTTCACAATGCATCCTTTTATTTTTTTTTGCACTCAGCCACTGCAGAAGCCATAGCTTCAGGTGGCAGTGTTAAATACAGCTGGGTTCAACGTGAGTCTGTTCTTCTAACATTTAATGTTAGGGAATAGCAGCGTCCATCTCTTCAGGACTTTATACTTCATGCCAAGGTGTTTAACACTGTAGGTAGTTAAAAAGACAGACAACCCTTTCACAGGCCCAAAACCTGAACTGCACATGAGACAACTCTTCACCTGAACACTACAGTTGTTACTCTGAAGCACATTTTTTCACAATTCACTGCACTACTCCGCATGCCTATTGGATTAATGAAAAGTTCTATAACAAGTTCTTCAGTTTCTTTCCTCTATCAACATTTCCCTTTGATAGATTTTTCTCCAACGCAACTTCCTTTGGTTGTGGGGTGGGGGTGGGGGGGGGGTGAAGACTGCTTCGATACCAATCTTACTCCAAACTCACCAAAAGGAGACACTTGGTACACAGGCAGAAGTCAGATTTCTGATTCTGTTTAACTGGTCATTCAAACCTTGAACTACCTCACCACATGTATGGATTTCACTCTTTAACCTCAGCTAAAGATGCATCGAGATAAAATGGCATGTGGACAAAACCCTGATGAAAGGTGACAAGCAGATAGGAGTCCCACATTGGAGTTTGAGCAAGCACCTTAACAGTTGTGTAAGATTGATTATATAATTGTTTGAAAATATGATTAATGAACACATTTCAGGGATCCTATCAAAGTAGATCACCATAATTTAAAGTGAGAGCCAGCTAACGGCATATCTGAATTTAAAATCATTGGATTTCAATTAAATCTTTTCCTCCCTGCAGGCAGATATGAAGGCTGCCATTTCCATCTCAATAGCCAGAGACCACACCATATGAATGCTATGAAATGGAAACTTAGCAACTTAAATACTGGTCGTACCAACCTGGTTAACTGTTTTAACCATTTTTTGCATTCACTGGGAGACTTTTTTTCCAGCAAAGGTAAAGGGTTTCAGCGTTTCAACTCCACACAGTGATAAAGGAACAAGAAGTGATTTAATATACCTGCAAATGATAGACATCACCTGCTCACTACGCAGAAGCTGTGAAATATTGAACCTCACATCCTGTTTTCCAGAAGCCCGTGTACAAACATAGGCAAACGTACAAAAAATAGCCAAGAAACAAAAACATCTGCAGCAAACAACGAGTTTTAAATTGCCATTTGTATTTAAACCTTTTCACTTGAAGTTGTATCCAATGTTTTACATCTGCAAGCAAGAGAAACTATCCATTATTCCAAGGATGTTTCTGATAATTATCTAGATTTGCAAACAACTAAATAGAGTCAGATATCACTGCACCAGATTCAAATGCTTGTTGTTCATGAATAAGAAACTCTCACTAAACATAAGCGGAGTTTAGATAACCCATTTCCGCTACATTTTTCCACATTTTAATTTCCTATAATGCTTGTAACACCAAAATTAAGTTTACTATTCAAGTAGACAGAAAATACTGTACTACCCTCCTTATTGGTCTCACATTTTTTTTGGAAGGGAGGGAAGGGAGTAGAAGGAAATTCTAGAGTGAAGCCTGAGGTAGGCAATGTATTTGAAATGCAAATTTGGATTGCATTTTAAGCTACATTTGCAGATAGTTACCAGCCAAAGGCAGTAACAATTGCTTATGTTGGATGTTGCTAAGTAAATATTACACATACAGGCAGAAAATCAGTACTGCACAAGTTTTACTAATTCATCTTCCCTAGCCATGCTGCTTTTCATTTTGCTGCTGGCAAATGGATGCGTGTTTTATTTTTTATATAAAAAGTCAGATCAGGTTTATCCTCTTTCCCGGATATCTAGTTAGCCTGGCAAATCTATCTCCCAGATGGAGCCTAAATCTGGATAGGAGTTTATATCAGGATTCAGTCTAATAATTGAGTGTTTAACCCACGAGAGCAGCCTTCTCTCAATACAGCGAGCTTCATAGATTATTTATTATTTTATATCCTCTCAAATCTTCCCTAGCTACAGATTTTCATACTGTATTCAGATAAGTGGAAGATTTCTCCAAAAACATTTAACACCAATATCACACCATGCCTCAATGAGTAGTAGGTCAAGAAGCAGTGAAACGTGCCTCTAGGGGAGGAAATTCAACTGGGAAACTAGCGCTTTAGTACATGTGCTACAAGGGTCACATTGCAACTTAGTCAACTTCAGGTTATTAACTCATCGAATCTTCCAATTCAGTGGATAGGGCTGAATGCTTTTTGTACATATGACCAATGGACACAGTGAGTGATCTGCCTTACAGCATCGTGGTTATGACATAGACCAATGTAACTACATCATTATCAGACTGAAAATTATCAATTTGGTTTGTAAGAACAATATCCGTTGACTCTTTTGTTTAAATCCCCACTAGCGATGGTTTAAAAATGACAACAAACTTTAAAAAAAAATTAGAAACAGGGCGGTCTTCATTAAACAACGGAGACTCCCAATTGGCGGCTCCTCAGAGATAAGTGATGTGACCAATCTGAGGTCTACATCAGGAATCTGCTCTAGTTTCTCATTTCGTCACAAGAAAATATTCCATTTTTTTTAAAAAGTGCGCATTTGCAGCCACATTTTAACCATGAAAAGCCTTGCCCACCAGTCCAGCCCATTTCTGTAGTTATCCAACTGTATATCAAGTGACTGGACTCCATAGTTGTGAAGAGCAGGTTATGGTTTCATAGCTTACTCCTGAACAGCACAGGAATGCCATTCACTCACTATGTAACTTAAAAGGTTTGGCACTCTCTTCTGCAAGTTTTTTTTGATGTGGGAAGGTAATAAAGAAGAGGTTGGCAAGCTATTAATTGTAACTAGACTTTAAGCAGTCCTAAATTCCACTCTATGCAGAGAACGAGTGACCATCTCAACATTAAGAGGCATGAATGTCCAATAAGCCACATTGGATCAGGAAAACTGCAAATCTGTTCGACTGAACACTTTCTTGGATGGTGGGACATAAATTGACTGTGCGAGCAACTACAGTACTAGTAAAATAACTGTGTAAAATGTTGAAGCCACCATACCCATTCCGAAATTCACTGAGGAAACATATGTTCCCAGCTCCAATTGCTCAGCCTACGCTATGATTTATCCCCACTGATAACTCACACAGCACAAAGAAGTGAAATCCCCTAACTAATGGGCACTTTTTAAAAAATATATATAATTAGTTCTTTGCGACAATTCACTTCACCTCCAACACTTCCACAGCTTCAGAAAGAGGTGACCTTCGCCAACCATCTCCGAGCTGAATGGAAGATTCGGGTCTCCAGGGTTCAGTAACGTTGGAGAGACCAGGTCAAGTGTACCACGTAATCCCAATAAGATTTTTTTTGCATAAATAGCAACATTTTAGAGAATCCATTAAACTAAAATGTGGAAGAAAGTAAAAGTCTTGTATAGCGGTGGTGTATTTTAGTAAGTGTTTCCTTTATAATCTCTGTTAAAGTCCTAGCAGATCTGTGAAAACAAGCTCACTTGTAGTTTTCCCCTAGCTGATTTCGCAGTGCCCTGGCAGCCACCATGTTACCACCTTCCCAAATGGAACTAGGATCATGTTGCAGGGCCTGGCTAGACTTTCGTTGGGTGTGAGCTAGGTTCGGGGAAGGCTGCACATCTCACAGTGGTCCATGATTGGCGGGTTCACGTAGGTGCAATGTTTACAATGCCACATGTCAGCAGGAGGGGGAGTTGGCACGGATCCTCCCACTGCACCGAAATCTGCGAAGCTGTCCGGGAGGGAAGGCACTGTACCTGCAAGGAGAGAGAGAGATAGAGAGAGAGAGAGGTCAGTGTTTGGGCTGCAGGGAAAGAAAAAATAATGCATGCAAAGTAATGCATCTTTAAATCAGTCTGTGCAACACACACACACCTTTACCAGGCTCTCTCACCTCAGAAACTCCCAGGACAACATAACTATTATAAGGTTATTTTCCCAGCTAAATCAAACTCTGATTATGCCAATTATACACACGATGGAAAGGAAAGTAATAAACTACAATATAAAGCTGCAGTGAAATTTAATATATAATATATGTAATATATTTTGCATACACATTTATACCTGGCATGCATACAGTCATGTCAAGTGGAGAGAAAAATCTACAAGATTGAGAAGAAAAAAGGGTAAGGAAATAAGCCTAACATTGTCAATTCATGTTTAGCAACGAGATAAAAAGAAATGGAACGTTAGAGAATAACCGTCCAGAAGTCGATCAGTCAATCAGTAAATTAATGTTTGTGAAAAGTCAGACCTAAAAATGTAATCACTTTTTCTTGTGACTTACTGTAACTATCCTAATCGCTTACTGTCCTTACCACAAAGTTGTTCAATGGTAGCCCACTGCTCTGATCTCTTCCAGGTCTGGGCAACCTCCTCATTCCGTGTTTTCACAGCGTCCAGTATCAAGCTCATGCTCTCCTGTCAAACATAGGACACACAAGAGGTTACCTACTAGGATACGCGTATTGGACAAACTCTGTTGCACACTGTTGGACAACAGCAGAGAAGTCTGCTCACAGCAGCATAGATTTAGCTCAGAGTCTTTGAACCAGTTTTAAATTGCCATCAAAAGCTACACCCGATCGTGTCAGACTTGCTAGGAAGAATTCAAATGCCCAATGGACGCATTAAGTGACTCGTAGACAAGAAATGTAAAGAATGGAGTGTTATGGACCGATGTATTAAAAAAGTAGCATCTGATGCGTTAGATCTTAACCTCAGGTACTGAGTAAAGACTTTTTGCCTCAAACATGATTTACAACATTCTGAGCAGAGACATGCTTTGACCCTATAAGATAACCATCTCCTTCAGGGGAAATAAAGGATCTCACTTGTGGCTAACAGATGTGCCATGCCAATTAAGTGAAACTCTTGACTAGAACAATATGAAGTGAGACTCTGTTTTTCTTTAAAAAAAACAAGCAAATATTTTAGCTTCTACACATACAACATTGTACAAGATCTGGGGAAAAACCTACGTTCTCCATGTCTAATGATCAATACTAAACAACACATGTTTTCATTCAGAATATTGTCCAAATGAATGAAATAATTCATCAATTACTGTCAAATCCGGTGTAGAATGCAAATGTATTTAGGACTTTCTGTATTGGGGAATAAACTTCCACAGAAATTTGATTCACAAAAGAGGAAAACAACTTAATCGCTAGCCAAGACATATGCTTGATTTTACAACATAACTTTTCCCTCGAATCTGTGATTGAGTCTGGCTAACAGCCTTACTTCCACAAAAATACATTGACTTTGCTGGGTTTGCACGAAGATTTCTTTTCATGAAGAAATAAGTTAGACAATTAAGTATTTCAAACTATTGCTATTTTGTGGGGTGGTGGGGGGAGATTAAAAACAAAGCTACTTCAGGTTCAGCAAAATTATAAAGGGAAAACTTTGTTACGTGTATCTAAAAGGTGCAGTATGAATCCATAGTAGTGTCACACATTTGTCATATTAATACATCCTACAGTATTTTTACCAAGATGCAACCACACCCTCAATATGGCGGTGGAATGTATTTTTGTTTGAGCCTGCGGTCCACGCTTTGTCACTGAAGGCAATAATTATTAACATGAATTTCTACAGTAGAATTCCAACATTACTCCTGCAGTGTCGCAGATAAATAAATGTTGAGCTCAAACCAACGACATCACACACTGTTTTCGGAAAAAAAAGAATCACTTCAATATCTTCATTGATCCTGATCTCCAGCTGATCACTACCAGCCAGAGTGCTCCACACATGCTGTGCTTGATGCTCTCTGAGCCAATGGTTGCGTCTGGAAGTGATCTGGACAGACAGTCACTGATAACATGCCAAAACAGCAGACTGTTACTGACTCACAATCAACTTCGGGCTTGGTGTCCTGCCAAAAGCCTACAACACACTTAAACCACTGCAACAGCAGCTCACATTCAGGTAATAACAGAGAAATTAAACGTTCGCCGATCGTAGTAGGACTCACAGAAGCAATTCAAATAGACACACGTGGAACTGATCATATAACGGTTGACTAGCAAGTGTACAATGTTGTACAATTAATGCAAAGGCTAGGAGAAGACCGCAGAGATTATTCTCTCCTTAACCCTATAAGGAGGCACGGTTCCACTTTCAGTCTGCTAATGAAAGCCATGTGCAGCAGCTCCTGTTGAAGACAGGCAGCATTCTACTTGGCTAACAATGTCAACGCACATTTGATTTATTCCCTTTTTTCACTTTGTGAGCGGGTGAAGAATTGGTTGGTGTCATTAATCGCCTCTTCATGAGTACGTTCCCAAAAATTCCATTACTTACACCACAAAGTAGTTTAAAGTGACGTGAAAACCCAGCTGTTTTTTTTCAATTTTACAGACAAAATAACCTCTAAGAAATCAAACCATCTGCTGTTACCTTTCCTAGGCTTCTCTGCCCTCACACTCTGGAACTCTATCCTGCAATCCCTCCACCTCACCCCCTCTCTTGCCTCCTTCAAGTCCTGTCTGACGACCTTCCTCTTCGATCATGCCTTCGGCCACCCTCCCACCTCCAACTCCTCCCTGCTCTCCTACCCTTCTGACCCCAACTCCCAGCTTGGATCCAATACCCCTGATTGTCCAGCGCCCTGGGACGTCTTTCCAAAGTGAAGGGCGCTATACAAATGTAATTTGTTGTTGTATTATTCCTTTCTTTTGGTCTCCTTTTACAACTTTTAGAGCCGGTTTCTCCCTTAATTGTTCATAATTTGTTTCCACTGAGTTGATTTGTTTGTCTGTAAAAAATGGTACAGCACAAAAATCCTAAGCAGTTTATTATAATCTTCATCATGGAATGGTTATTTGGCTGGTTAAAGAAGGATGCAAATAAGTTCAAGAAAGAGATAAGAGCCTCATGAAATGTATCGACTCCGCAGACCACATTACACATTCTCTGCATTCCGTACTCTAACCAATCACGCATACATCTCAAGATATTAAAGCTGTGAAGGTTTTCTTTGCTATAATGGACATGGGAGAAAGAGAATTAGCAGCCAACGGTTTTGCAAGTTATAGCGAGGATCCGATTACACTGCATCCAAACTAAACCAGGTCTCAATGGTTCCAGCTCAGCAAAGGGAATATGAATTGATGACCAATAGATTGTACTATGTTGGAGACCATGGGAAGACACTGCTGTCTGAATGTGGATGTCACCAGGACACTAAAGTGAGAATGCATTGCTTCCCTCCTCAAAATAAGCCTATTTACACTAACTACTTTGCAGACAAGCTATTTCTTGGGTACGTTCTCAATCCCATCACACTCTGGAAAATATGAGTTCCCTTGATGATGTTCTCATGGGCTCAGATCAGAGGATGTTAGAGGAAGGCCTCTAAATTATATTTAAGTTCATTTTTGCAACCTGTGTAATACTCATTGCAGCCGAATCAATGAAAACAAAATCAGCTCTGGGAGCCTCTATAACTTCCTTAAGACTATATTCTTCTTTGAATTCCCTCCAATTCACAAATTCCAGGCAGGGCGAAATCGTGGGCAAGTTTCCTTACTCCACACGCCTAATAATAATCCCTCCAAAAAACAAAACAATAATAAATTAATCATTTTCAATCCACGACTGTTTGTGGGATACTGTTGTGCGCAATTGGCTGCCGCGTTTCACCCACAAATATACGGTCAATTCACTTTACAGCATATTCTGTGAAGCGCTTTGAGACATCTAGAAGACGTGAAAAATGCTATATCAAATGCAAGGATTATTATTATTAAATACCCTTTTGAAAGTAGGGTGACCAAAATGACATGATATTCTAAATGTAGCCAAACTGATGAATTGTTGAGAATTAATTCTAATTTATAAGAAGCCTTTGAGATGGATGATGGTTGACGAATGCCACTGAACAAACCTGCACTGGCTGTTTGGCTCCTCTATTTTAACCAGTGTCATTGGAAAAATCTGGTGAGCTCTGAGGCAACATGCTGGGAGGTAGTACAAAACCACACTTTGATTGTTGTTCATTTCATAGCTATCCTTATTCTGCACTCATGATTAAAGCTGATTATAATTGGAAAGTGAAGCTGAGACTGCAGCCTAATCTGAAGCCAATCCTAATTTGGGAGTGTCCGTACAGCCGTTACATTATACTGCCACGATCATGATAGGACAATCAAATTAATTTACTGCCATGAAGCAGTGCTAACCGACAGAGTACAGACATAACTGCAACATACTGAGGGAGTTTTAGTTCACTGTTGGAAGTAGACATAGAAACAAAGAAACTGCCACAAATGGAATCAAGCATCTAACAGCTGCAAAGCAATGTTCCATTGCTTTCTAATTAAACAGCCACGATTTTCACTGAAACAACAGCTTCAACAGGAAACATTATGCATTCAGCAATGACATAATGTAGTTTAAACTGATTTCATATGGTATCCAACCATGAGGCTTAGCAAATGCCACAAAACCTTTTTTTAAATTACAGGCTTGTTTCTTTTTTTAAAAAAATTATTCAGAAACCTAAGTGAAGAGCCAAAAGAATAAACAATGAGAAGTAATAGTTAGGTTTAAAAAGCGCGTGGACTAAAGGAGGAAAGAAAAATAAGGGAGGGAACAATTTCCCAGTATTAAAGCACTGGCGAAAAAAAGTTAGGAGATTGTGAAATAAGGTGTAATGTTAACAGTCGGGATGCAGAGAAAGAACAGCATTTGAGAAAATGCATTTGAAGCTAGAAGGGAAAAGGGAAGAAAACAGATGAGCAGTAATAGCCATAATAGTTCAGATGAAAACGAGAAAAAAAAAGATTGTAAACAAAGGTGGTGATGGTTAGAGATAAGAGAATAATTCCCCATTAGACCAACATTATTTCCTTATCGTCTGTTCAGGAGTGCAAAAGAGGTGCTCGAAAAGGTTTCCTGAGCAGTAGTGAAGTTTCAGGATGGAGTTTAGCTTTTTCCCCACAATTTTGGTTAGGGTCTGGTTCCACTTTATCGAATGCCCTCGGTAGCCAACTACTTTTAAAGGCTGACTACCACTACTTTGAGCTCAGCATATAGGCTGACACTCGAATACTTGTCAGAGTTGCACTGACTGGCAAAATCAACCAAAGAGTATATAGATTTAAACGATGACTGCAAAGGGCGATTGAAATGGAGAAGGAACAAAGAATGCATCAAATTTAGCAATACCTTTTTAACAATGACTCCTATTATATAATCCTATATAAACAGTGTAGAAGCAGTACGAACTTCAGCTTATTGATTTTGATTATCCCTAAATATCCCAGTCCTACCGGCTCAATAATAATAATTCTTCCATTTTATATAGCGCCTTAGCACATCTTCGAGACGTCTCAAAGCACTTCACAGGATATACTGTCAAGTTTAGTGACTGTATATCTTGTGGGCAAAATATATTGTAAAGTGAATTGACTGTATATTTTGAATTTACGTGGTCTTATACTGTAAAGTGAAATGACTGTATATTTTGTGGGCGAAATGGCTCAACTCAGGAATGTAAGGCAAGGACCAAGCTTTTCATTTAACTGACAGGTGCTTGTATTTCAAATCGCAGCCATTCCAGATTTCAAATTCAGATCTACTGCAACTTGCATTCTGGCTAAAGGACAGACAGATGTGGGCAGCTATAGCAGAGTGAGCAGCAGACAGCACATAGACGAAAACTAGAAATGTGAAGCCCAGATTCTCAACTGCTATGATACAGATTTGTTGGCTTTAATTTCAGTCAAATGGAGGTGGGGTGGGATAAGAGGTAATTATTCAGTGATACTCACCCTGAGTGGCATGACGTCATTGGTGACCAGGAACACTAGCAGGTGGAAATCTGAGATGATATCCAGGAAAAACTCCGATTGATTTTGAGACAAGTATGTGGACAGACTGTGGAAATCCTGCAGGAAGGTCAACATTGACAAAGTGAAAAACTTTACAAGAATAAAAATTGTAGAGATACTTTTTACGCATTCAGCCTGAAATTCAGAAGACATACAAACTAAAGTAACTTAAAAACACACCTAAAAATCCTCATGATTTTCTCATAGCTGACAAAACGCCAAACAATATTAAATTGATTTATAGCAGCCTTTACTTAGGTTGGCCTCGAATAATTTTCCAAATGCATTTCAAACATCTTTGTAGTTGCAGACTGTTACCTGTGTCTCTCCCATAACCTCACGATTCACAACAGCGAAAGGGTGTGGAGATGAAACAAATGTGTAAACAGGGTCCTTTGGAAAAGTCGTGGTAATCTTGTGTTAAACAAAAAGAAGATCACAAAATTAATAATATGACAGAGTTACCTAGTTATTCCTAGTTTTTTTTTAATAAAAGGGAGTGGCAATACTTTTGATAGTAGAGAAGTGACTTTCCACTTGTTTTTTCTACTCATTCTCTCGGCCCCAGTGGGTGCAGTTAAGTGCCAACTCTTGCCTGCATTCTGCCAATTCTGCTTTGAGAGTGGTTGGAGATGCACAAGTAGTCCAGGAATGGTTTCTTTTTTCCCCTTCTCTTCCTCTGGAGAAGAAACTGGTTCTGTTTGGCACTTCTTCACAGAAGCACATTGGGTCAGATCAGGAACACACTTGCTGGGCTATTCACAGGGATAAATCACTACAAATTTAGGGTTTCAATCTAGTGCAAAACTACCATTAATGGAACTCTTTCAGCACCTAGTGTGTTGTACTGCGAAGTTCAGCGCTAGCTGTGAACAGCACAGCCTCAGCCATGAGGATCATCTTAGAGCTCAGCTCATCTGCTCCTTAACATTGCTGATGTCTGGCTTGCTTCCAATCTAATCAACATCTTTTTTTGTCGAATAAACTGAGCTACTGTGCATTAAATAACCATTGCACTCTTCTCTACCCCAAGTCACAGCCACAAAACCATGGATACTATAATCTGGGACTAATTTGGTTGAGTTTGGGTTCAATTTATCCTTCAAAAACACGATAAAAGCTACTACTATACTTGACAATGGCTTTCTAAATTTAAAATTTAAGTTGAATTAAACTATACTTTCAAAGTCATTATGTTGATGTTTGAAGGAAATACAGACCTATGAAATGGACAAGAAAGTCCAGGCAACCATATGTAATGGGTTGATTAAAGCCGGTCTAAAGTATTAAATATGTTTATCATTAAACTGCATTTGGGGAATTTAAGTAAAAATGAACACGTTACAAAAGAATAGCAAGTGAATAGGTGTGAGCGCAGTTGTTGACAAATAGTGTTTGAAAAGTACTCAGTACTGAATCAAATAAATAATAATAATCCTCGCATTTGATATAGCGCCTTATCACGACTTTTGAGACTTCTCAAAGTACCTCACAGAATATACTGTAGTGAATTTACTGTATTTTTGTGGGCAAATCGTGGTAACCAATTAGTTACAGCAGTGTCCCACAGAGGCGTGTGGAGTAAGGAAACTTGCCCAACGTTTTGCTCTGCTCAGGAATCGAACCCAGGTCCTCTCGCTTGCGAGACGAGTGCTCTAACCACTGAGCTACACGATCCCACGAGGAATGTGGAAGTTTGCAGCAGTGAAAAGCATCCCACATCTTTCACACTTGGCAGTATAAATTCTTCAGATTTAAGGCAAGTTTTCAAAGAAATCAGATTTAGAAAAAGAAATTTCAAAGCAATCTAGACTCTCGCTTGAGGATGACTGGGACTACAGAAATTGAACTACAGTATTTATTTCTGTACAAGAACTATCAACCATCTCATGAGAACTATGCCCAAATTCATGCTCCCTTGTTGCCACGTTGGCCTATTAAATGTGGCAATGAGCAGACCTTGGAGGTTCATAATGTACCAATTCATACTTACATCTATAATCAGGTATTCTACTGGCAAAGGCCGTGCTAACTGTGTGATCTCATTCCCAAACTTGTCAGTGTCCTGTGTTGGGAGAAAACACAAAAATTTACACAATCACATTTACTTCAGCACATTTATTTAATTAAAATGGGTTTATAATAGATCTCGTTATGAATGTTTTCACATGAATTGAATTCTATAACTATCCCTAGTCAAGTGAGGTCATTGCAAATAAAGCTAACCAAGGACTGGGCTATGTTCTCAAGAATTATATAACTTCATATAATTTAAGTTTGGAGGATTGATTGCCAGGAAATAAAATTGAGTTGTCATGCATCAAGGTATAAGTTAGATAGTTACCTTATAGAAAACATCAGGAACATACTGTTCAGAAGTGGACTCTTTTACATATCCCAGCTCTGGTGCATCTCTGCACGGCAGCAAACATTCATCTCGTACCAGCGCCATGCACTGGTTGGAGACCTGGTAGCCTTCAAAATGAACCTGATTATCTGGGCCACCTAACAAAGAGGAATACAAATTTAGAAAGAAACATACATGAGATTTTAACATGAGGCAGGGCATTATTTATTCCTTCAATTTTCCCAAATCAGGACACTTCTAAGCCAAGCTGAACGCCATGCTGTGCTTGAAGATCAATGAGATTCAGCTGGAGTACAGAGAAGCCGACATCTCCGATAACTTGAAAAACTTCTAATGCATCCCTGGAGGAACAAGATAATATTTTGAGATCTAAACTGTGCAGCACAACAGAAGAGATGTATGGACAAAATCATATACTGATCCCATAATATTTGTAGCTGCACAAGAACACAAATGTTTAAATCTAACCTTCTATTCACGTGACTCCCGTGTTCATATGACCAAATATAATCACAATAACAAAAATATCTTCATTATTTGCTCTTGCAGTAAGTACCTACTGGAGTGGAAAACAGGGTGGAAAACTGTGATGTTCTGCTCACCGCTAAAATTAATTTGCGTCTCTTCTCTTCATTCGCGATAAAACTTGCCTTTATGTAAACTAACTCAGTACAGATCAACGTAAAGCTGATCTTTACGGTCTCCATAGATCATTTATACTCTAAGTCATTGAATGGAGCTAGAGTCATATATATAATACATATATATAGTCGTATATTGGATATTATCATTGTGTGTACATTGTGGTTGCTGCTCCATACCTGAAATCTAAAGAATGCCAAAACAGAGATGATTTATAGTGGCTAAAGTAGCAGACAGTTAAAAGTTTAACAGCACATTCTATCAACATCTTGAAAAATCTTAACCCCAGTCATTCCTTTGAGGATAATCAGTACTGTATTTCTCTCCCACTCTTGGACAGGGAAACGAAACAGAACCTCATAGTGGTGCCTTCCTGAAATGAGCCAGTTTTGTGATGGAAGAAAATACAAGAGAACTGACAATTCTCTCCACGCTGCCAAAAAAAAAAAATCGGTTGAAGAAAAGCAATAGGAATAACTTGACTACCCACTTTTTCCGAAGAGAAATTCACTTGCAAATGCAGTAGGGAAAATAGACCAGTATCTGAAACAGCACAGAAATCCCTTTTTGTAAAAATCTTTGGATGTCCCGAAACACAATTGTACTCAAGACTCAACCACACACCTGTTGCCAAGACAGTCACAAACTTTGATCCAAAGTGCCCATCTGGAGATAGTCGACAATTGTTGTGGTGCTTATTCTGGAAATCACCTGCTGTGATGCACTCCTCTGCACTCAGGATATGTGCATCCTGACACGGAGAGAAAGAGAGATTTTTTAAAAAAGGCCCACAGCGCTTAAAATGTCAAGTGCTTAGTTTATCAATCATGTACATACATCAGTTTGGTGTTTCTTTTTTCTAATGCAGGTCTAATGGACAAAGCTTTGTTCTCCACACTAATTTACATTTGATAAAAATACTTTATGTAAACAAAACCTGGTAGCGAATACAAACCAATGATATTCCACAAACAGCAATTTCGCACACAAAATATACAGTCAATCCACTTTACATTATATTCTGTGAAGGTTTTGAGACGTCTCGAAGACGTGATAAGGCGCTACATCAAATGCAAGGATTATTATTATTATGAGATAAATATACTACCAAATTCTTTTTTGATGAATTTGGATACATTAGACGTCAGTTTTATAAAACAATTGTTTTGAAAATGTTTCAGACTGGAATGCTTCTCTGAAAAGTTTAGCAAAGAAATTAGCAATTACCTCCTCTCAATACATTACTGTGTACCACAGGTATGTGGGAACACAGCCTGTCAAATAACAAATCCGATTGGGAATAGGCAATCAAAACAAACTTTATACAGCTCCAAGCCGATGGGGTGGGTGGATGTGGGCTAAAAAGAATGAATCATCGGCATGAAATGCAGTTAATAACAGCAGAAATAAATTACCTAAACAAAAAAGTAGAATATTATTATGAGCGAGGGTGAGGGGTACCATCTTAAGTCATTGTTGAAAATTACCTCAGCTTTGGTATGGGAAATCACAGAGAATCTTGAGAAAATAACAAAGGATAAATAAACACCACAATCTGAAAAGATTTGGAGCTCACATAGAAACGGAACATAATATGCTCTGGCAATAATGTGTTCCAGAGGGGACTGTGAAGAAGAGGCAGTGAAAATTCAAGTCCACGAACATTTTGCCCAAATTACTGCCCTATGTACATTTAAAGAAGCATTACGGTGCAAATATACTGGAGAGACTAACTCGTTATAAATATGCTGTGTTTTGAGAATCAAGTATTCTAAATTGGAGCTCTGTTGCAATCGTTAAAAATGCCCTTCAGAATGTATCAAATGATTCACCTTATTCCTGATATATTTGACGGTGCCTTTCCTTGTATCTTCTGATATAAGGTCTGTGAATATCCAGCCAACCTGAAACATAACACACATTGTCAAACAAGTTCCATTCAGAGCTCAGTGTTCTTGATATTTCCCACCACATGGTAATAACATCATTAGGAAGGCACGTCAATAAGAGACGTGTTATAAACATGATGAAAATAATAATGCCAGATTCTTCCTGTCCTTCCATCGTTCATTCCTAAACTCAAACAGAACGACACGACCAAAGCTCGCAGGTTTAGAGATAGGGAAGCAAAAAACTTTTAGTTTGTAGCTTCTGAATTGGAAAACCTTTATTTTTGCTCTTGCATCATGGACTATTAAACACCAGTTTCAATATTTTACTGGGACAACATTAAAACATGTCCCGATCTACCTATAAAGTGGGCAAAGAATTTAAAAGTGAACAGATTTTATGGATCTTCAACTGTGTCACTTCGGCAAAGAAAAAAGAAACGTTCCAGAACAAGATGACATACATTGACATACATTTAGGATTTGAGCTAGGCTGGTTGGAATTCAAAGCAGAAAATCTTTCTTCACCAAATGGTTGTGAGAATGGGAAATGCACTGTCCCACGAGGCCATAAATACAGTGTTGATCGAGGGGCTTAAAAGAGATAGATAAATACTTGAGAATTAAGTGCATCAAGGGCCATGAAGAAAGAGTCGGGAAATGGAATCAAACGCATAAAATGCTACCGTGAACTAATAAAATGGCAGATCAGGCTTCATGGGTCAAACTGCTACTCAAATTCATATGTTCAGTGATGGAGACCCCTGTACTCTGCACTATTCAGTTGTAAAAGGCTATATTAAAGGTGAGAAGCATTTGGAGGAGTACACTACAGAGTAAGGCATGCATCTATTCCCCTTTATGCCTCTCCTGCAGTAACATTTGGCATTGAAAGCTTCAATTCCACAAATCTACAACTGTTTGTGGGACACTGCAGTCGCAATTGGCTGCCGCGTTTCGCCCACAAATATACAGTCAATTCACTTTACAGTACATTTTGTGAAGCGCTTTGAGAGGTCTAGAAGAGGTGAAAAGCGCAATATCAAATGCAAGGATTATTATTATATATTTAGCTCTCTCCATAATCAATATTAACCAGAAGCTGACTGAATTTTCTCTTTTGTGAATTCCACAAAGAAAGCAAACCTAAAAATTCAGCCATACTTTCTGATAGAAAGCTCTGGCAACCATACTGCATAAATCGCATAAACATTTAATATATTGTGTTGCGTGGTTTTACTTGAAAAAACTTCTGCTAAGTTCCATCAATACAGCTGTAATAACTTTATTTTTCTCTCCACGCAGGGCTGGAAGCTAAGTAAATGTCACCTTACAAAGAGTTCAAGTCTTATATTGTGCTGGCCATACCAGCTGGAAACTATTACTCCCATTTATAATAAGCAGCATTCCACATCTGCTTACTGTTAAACAAAGGGAAAAACAATACAAGCTCCAAATGCTGGAGGGGGGGGGGGGGGAAGGGGGGAGAAAAGGATGTTTCTATTTTAGAAAGACCAAAGTTAAATTTACATTTCTGAAAAAATACAAAAACCTATCCAACAGGGCATGTGTAGGACATAAAGAGAAATAATTTAATAGTTTAATAAGAGAAGTTTAAGTGATAATAATAATAATCCTTGCATTTGATAAGTGTCTATAATAAAATGCAAAGATTATTATAATCTTACAAGTCCTTACAAGTCCACATTTTCAATATTTACGTGATCAATATAGTTATCAAGATGCGTGTAATAAACACCATTTATAAATCTTGACAATGTTTTTCAGAGATTCTGATCTACTTTTGTCCAAAAATAGCCTTGAGATCACTACTTCCATTCCTAAAAGGCTGATCAACTCATTTGGATGGCATCTTGAAGACCTCAGTATCAATATTGACCCAAGTAATGTTTAAAGAAAAGATTGTACAGATAATCATGTGGTTCAAATAACTCCATTAAATAACTATCTCTCTGCATTACTATTGAATGGGGAATTGTTTTTGTTCGGGGGGGGGGGGGGGGGGGGTTGACGGGAGTTAGATTTTGCTGAAACTACAGTTACTGTAACCCTCAATTAATTATAATTGGACACCACAGTATTAGTCCATAACTGACCTCAATATCCCTGGGTTAATAAAAAAAACTGTGATTAACATACTTGTTTTTTATTCTGTTCATTTAAAAAGAAAATGAATTGCTTGACTAAATAATTGCCTTGACTAATTTGAGGAATTGGCTTTGAAGAGTTCCTGAGCCTACAAGGGAAGTGAATTAGCAAACAGTCCAAATAAAACTGCTACACAACATTAGGTTAATAACAACAGCTCTGATGAGAATCATTCGGGTTTATCAAACAACTGAGATCAATAATATACAAAAGGCAGTTCCTTTGAAGCCTTTGATGCATCAATTTTGGATTTTCTCTTCTTTCCTATGGAAGTTTTTGACCTCTAAGTGGCACCTTTCCCAAAACGCAGACTCCTGATCAAGAACAAAAGTCACTATCAAAAGGGCCAGATTAAGGGAACTGGGGGCGTGGGAGGGGAGGGAAGTTAAGTCAGATCACATTTGGGGGGGGCCCTTTGAACTATGCCCGCAAACTACGCAACACTACCTTTGTTAAAATATTTTCTTCCATGACTTCCTAGGTGCAAACATATCAAGCACACGATCAAAATACACTACCGTGCTCAACAGACAGGATTGCAAGTGCGTTCAAACTATCCTGGATCATTGTAGATCTAAGTATTTGACAAGACTCATCTTTGGGAACAAGTGTTCACCTTCACAGACTGTTACTGACAGTGTTAAGAACATACGGAACAGCCACTGCCACACTTGGAAAACGTCAGCCTGACGCAGATACATGTACAAGGCGGGGCTGACGGTGAATTACAGTGTTCCGGGCAGCAAAACTGCCCGCGGCACTCTGCTGTCCCACAGCTGCAGCGCACGCCTGTGTGGGTGTAATCAAACTGACGTTTGCTGCTAATTCAACGCCAACAAATAACCACTGAACACTTTGAAAGAAGCGCTTTCTGTTGCAAATGCGGGTGATTAAGTGCCAAGTTTTTGAGCTGTAAAACTGTAAATAGATTGGCGATTGCAGGTTAGTGGGGCAGAGTGTGGAGGAATGTAAGGTGGGGTCCGGTTGTATGTGTGTGGGGAGGAACCCAGCCCAGCTTTACGAAATCCAGACCAGCAACAATGCAAACTGAACCAAACCCAGCCCAGCCCAGAGCAGCCCAACTCAGACCAGCCCAGAACAGCCCAAACCAATTTAATCAAAGTGAACCAAACCCAAGTCTTTACCTACAGGCTGTGCTTCTCTTCCGGTCATTCTCCGCGCTGCCTCTCACAAGATTGTAGGAGACGCAGAGATGAGGTCTGATGGGCCTCTGTACATGATTGACGCCATTACCTCCTTGCTGCCTCGCAGAGTGACGGCAAGAGAGGTGCAGCGGGAGATATGACCCGTCCCTCCTGCTCCACCCCTCTTCCCCTCACTCTCCGTGCTGGCACATACGAGGAGAGCGACCAGAAGAGAGATGCAGCCAAGAGTTAAAGCCATCAACAAAATCTAGGGCCCCTCAGATCACAAACCATGGTTTATCTGGTTTATTAGTTAACCCAACTATCAGGAATGTGGATTTACACTGTACATTAGTTACCCTAATGGTTACACAATTGCACCTGGATTAAGTATTTGGAATCGAACACTTCATGATAATGTAAGGTTTGGGATGGTGGGGGGGTGGGTTTTTAAACTTTAAATGGGCAAAGATGAAGCATAAAACCAAAGACTTTAGACAGTAGGCTAGTGCTGGTAAAATGCCCAGAACAGACTCTTCCGGAAGAAAACAAATCCCGCACTTTTTCAATTGATCCCAAATGGCAATAGTATTCAAGTGTTTTCAGCTTCATAAGTTGAAAAATACTGCAACGATGATCAGTATTGTACTAATTGTGCAAATGCAATGGCTGTCACAACCTCAGAGAAAGTCTGACATTCAGCATGTGACAATTACTAAAGCATTTGAGGGTGAACTTCAGCTTTCTAAAACGGTCTCAAAGTCTAACGAGGCAGAACACATTAACCGGAGTAACAAAAAACACTTGGTCATATTTTTCAGCTTTGAGCCTCAGTGCCATTCACTACTATGGTGTTATTGCTGTGCAGGTGCTAACAGATAAGGTATTATGATTCTCAAACAAAGCAAAAAGTTCTTCTTAATTTATAAGACCTTTATCATGCAAATCCTAAATCACTCCCCTGCTCCAAGAGAGGTGTACCTGTGCAAGCCAGCTTCCTTTCATTTTAGTTCAGAGCTAGACTTATAAAACAGTTGCTTCACGTAGAAGCAATATCGTGAGATTCTAGTGCTTTTGAGATCAGCTCATTATGCGGGGAGCACTCATGCATATGTGGAATTCAGTCTGGTTTCGAGATGGGTTTCTGCGTGCATCAGACCACCAGCTGGCCAAAAAAATTAGACCGTGGGCAGATTCTACAATATGTGCAGCAACACAACGTGTTCAGAAAACACAAGGATGCCGACTGGAATACTCACTGTAATCTTCTCCTTTAACTAAAGTACTGTAATAAAAGTAAGGCTTTCCGAGAATGACCTACGGAGGTCTGTTGCTGCCTCACCTTCCTTAATCCAAGTTTTTCAGCAATTTCATGCACAATTGGAGCTTTCGGATCCTCCAGAAGCTCTAGACTGTTCGCTGTTCCAATCTATAGGCTCAAAACAAAGGAAATCAGCAAAGCGGTAGGGTATTCAAAAACAAGTCATATTTATTGTTATTATAACCTGTCAAGGTTTTGTAATGTTCCTTAACGTAAGAAACGTGGAAGAATTTCCTCATTGTATTCAGGAGACTTCTTGTAAAAGGAACGTTGAGGGAAGTTAAAGCGTTTTCTGTTCAAAGAACTCCTAAGTTTATTGGAAATTTAACTTTAAAGAAATCTTTTTCATTTCAAACAAAATATCTCAGACTTCACTAATACCTAACCCCGCCTCCTTTCACCAAGGGCGTCTAGTGATTATACTGAAACCTCTTAAAGTCCAGGAATAGCTCTTTGTGAACCAAATTATAGCCTTAATTCGAAATATTCTTTTTATAGGATTCACTCATAGTAACCAATTCATGATGTGCAAATTATACAACACTTGTACATATTTGGAGATCAGAAGGTATGGGGCCACCTAGTGGATCCAAACTGTTTTCACTATACCATCACTACATGAAGCAGCTTTCAGTACTTAAGATCACAATTGTTTCCAGAACAATGTCCTGAAGTAATATCAATGTTACCAGCAGCAACAGATCACGTGCAATTATTAAACCAGCAGCAACAGATCACATGAGGGTATCAGAATAACCACTGCACCAGTATATTTATTAAATTCCAGCCTCGATAAAGGAGATGCTTTCTCCATTTTAGTACCTGTTCCAAGTAGTCCCTGGCAACAAGCATTCATGCTGTTTAACTCTTTCTGCATCCTTTTTGGCCCACAGTCCCTATACCACACTTGTTTACTTCTCACCCTCTAGGAAAAACACAATGCTATTCTTGAATTAGACTAGTTGCATTTCTCGCACACAACAAAATTACATTTGTATAGTGCTTTCCAAATCGTGAGGATGTCCCAAGGCGCTGAACAGTCCGGGATCAGGACCCGAGCGTGGGGGGGCGAGCGGGGTTGGGATGAGGGAGGGCAGGGAGGTAGGACGGCAGCTGAAGGCTCGGTCGAAAAGGAGGGTCTTGAGTCTTGAAGGAGGCAAGGAAGGGAGCGAGGGGAAGGGATTGTGGGATGGAGTTTCAAACGGTGGGGGCAGAGAGACTGAAAGCCTGGCTGCCAATGGTAGGGCAGGAGACATGGAGCAGGCCGGAACCTGCTGAATGAAGGAAATGGACAGGTTGATAGGGGGTTAGCAGGTCAGAAAGGCAGGAGGGAGCAAGGCCATGAAGGGCCTTCAAAGTGAGGACGAGGATTTTGAATTCTATCCTCCGAATGTGTGGACGTGAAATATTACTGACCATTTAAAATTAGTGAAGGCCTTGCATTCCGCCACTACGCCCCGAAACACTACTCTTCCTCAATCCCTCTGCCTTGCCCCCTCGCTATCTTCAATTCGTGCCTAAAGATCTTTCTTGGTTACAGTCACATCCCCCCCACCTCACCCCTTGGCTCGATGCGACTCTGGCACTGTGAAGCACTCCCGGATGCTACCCTGCGTGAAAGGCGCTATATAAATGCAAGTAATTGTTATTGGAAACTCAAATGGTTCCTAGATCCCAAACATAAAAAGAATGAGTATCAAAACAGTAAAAGGAGAGAGCACTGACCTGTGGAGGTTCATAAATGGCAGCAACCTCTGCCCGAATACCTAAAGGAATGTCCTTGTGTTCAGTGTAGCGACCATAAAGAAATCCAATTCTCTGGTTCCCAGTCTGTCGCCAAAAGTTGAGGAATCGATCTGCTATTGTATGGTTCTCAAACATAATATTATCCACGTGCCTGTATTTCTGTATAAAAGATGAGGCTACATATTGGAACTCAGTGAAATGACTGTATTTTCTGATCAGATACTCTCACACCTTCTAACCATGTGGTGATATTCAGGGCTGGTGCTCTCCCTCAGGATGAGATTAACAATGTTGTACACAATTTAGCCAGTTAGGATCTTCAACTCGGTTGTCTACATTTATTACATTTATACACGGGAGTGATATCATACTCAAAATAATCCTCTCACATATAGTGCTGATAGAAACAATCATGACAATAAGGAGTCAAAAATTACAAAATTGCACACAGACATCCAATGTTGAAGTAAAAATGTCCAGTTTAAAAAGTACCCCTTACCTGATAGCTCAATCATTCATCCAGTGCCGAGGTGAGTTTTCAGACAAGCCCCCGTCCCCTCCACATCCCGACTCTCAAAAATGCAAAGCAAGATCGAGTGGATACAGTTTTGATTACGGAACTAGTACTTGCCTGCCTGTTGAGTGTGATAGCACTTGGCTGGCACTTTGTGCATATCCCATCAGGCCACGGAGGGTGCCCTTCACATCCCGATTTGATTTTGCAGCTGATGTTCTCCAAAGCAACAAACTTTCCTCTGTAAGCACATCAATCAAGTTGTTTTTAACATATTCTCAACAAAGGATAAATCCAATGAACCAGTCAGAAATTTGACAATACCAATTGAAGCAGAATAATTAGCAAGCTTGTGTTACACTGTGCATTAACTTGTTAACACAAAGTCCGCTCCACAAGCCACCAAGAATCACTCTGACAATTTAGAATATCCAACATCACTTCAGAAAACTCGTCATAAGATTTACTCAATCGTGTCAATGGCACAGCTAGGTCACTTTGTAAAGTCCTGAGAATTGTCCGTTTGGAAACAAAACACAGCCTTCATAACCAGCATCCAGTCTGTCAAGGACAAGTTTTACTGATTGATTTCAAGCATAGCCTCTGGTGAGGGCGCTGCAAAACAGGCAATATAAGGAGTTGAAAATTATTTTGGGATATATTGTTTGCAGAATGTTTCAAAACTCCTTAAAGAGAAATGATTCAGTTCTAATCTTGGCAAGATAATTTGGACTGAATTCTAAATATCAATGAAAGTAGGGGACTGTACAAGACTAAGATGAATTTGCTACAGTGGAAGATAATACGATAGAAAGTGCACAAATAATAATAATCCTTGCATTTGATATAGCGCTTTTCACATCTTCTAGACGTCTTAAAGCGCTTTGCAGAATAGACTGTAAAATGAATTGACTGCATATTTGTGGGCAAAATGTGGCAGCCAATTGTGAACAGCAGTGTCCCACAAACAGTCGTGGATTGAAATGACCAATTTATTATTGTTTTTTTTTGAGGGATTATTATTAGGCGTGTGGAGTAAGGAAACTTGCCCAAGGTTTCACCCTGCTAGGAATCGAGCCCAGGTCTCTCGCTTGCAAAGCGAGTGCTCTAACAACTGAGCTACTGGACTCAAATACTATAACATGACCCTTTTAATGCCTACTATTGTGGGTAGGGATTGAAAAAACATAAAAACAATGCAAGGTTGTAAGGACCAGAACCTACTTTTTGGAGTCTGATCATCAAAAGTGAACCAAATGTAACATGAAAGTTTTGAAAACGATTTATGGATTTTTTGGGGGGCAATATTGTTTTGAAACAAATGGATATCGCCCCCAATATTCTGAAGGTTTTCAGCACCAACACTATTTGATTGTTTAATAACAGCTCAATCTGGTTGGGCTTGGATTAAAAAATTGCATAACATTTGAAAAGAAGGTGTTGTGATCTATTCACTAAGGCAGTGTCTGCACTTTCTAAATTGAGTTTCGATGCTCTGAAAACTACTTACTTATCAGCACCACCAGTCAACTTCCGGATATATGCGTGAAATGATAGATGTTTGACAGGTGGATCCAAGTGATTAAGGTAATCTTCATCAAAAGGCTAAGGAAATCAAAATATACTCCAATAAGATAGTATGCAAGTTACAAGTGGTAACAACAAAAAAAACTGGTTTGATTTTACCAACATTTTCATTCAATGAACGCACTTTCTCACTTATAATGGGTGTACTTAACAGGGAACATTATTTGGGAGGGAAAGAAACAAAGATTTAAAAGGTACCCTTGAAAAGCCTCCACACCCTCTCTTTCCCACCATTCTTTGTGCTCTGCAAAAACACCGGTGGGAAATCTTTCAGCCCTGCCCAACGCCGGTGGGAAATCTTTCAGCCACCTGTCCCCCAGCTCTCTAACACTTTTCCTAAATTTCTCTGCTATGCTCCTCACTCACCACTTTCAAAAACTTTTCTCTGAATGCAACTTTTGTCTTCTCCCTCATATATCCCCAACTTCCACTCTCACCCTACTCAAACTCCCACACTGTCTCTATAAAGTGCTTTTGAGGCATTTCAGAAGGGAAAAGGCACTGTATAAGTGCAAGCAATTGTTGCTGTACTCATTTTAAATAATATGTAAAGCAGATTTGTCAAAATATTAGCTGGCTGAAACTCATCACATATCCAGTCCATTCTTTGTTATAAATCTAGTGGTACTTTGGTTGAGTTTCAGTAACAACTACTTTCCATTATGTGCTCTTACCTTTAAGAATTTAGAACTAATAAATGTGAGGCATTACTGTTAAATGTAGACTGTGACTAAATTGGAATGGAAAGGGTTGGTTAGTATTCTTTTAAGACACAATTGGTGACTAAGACCTCAGTTTTTTTTAAAAAACTAAATTGTCATAAAAATCTCAACTGCAAGAACAAAATTGTAATAACAATCCAAACTATGCCTCCTGCGTCGATGGAGATTTAGTTAGGAGGCACGGAGAAAGAAGCTGCAATGGACAGCAAAGTTATTAAGATAGCAGGGAAAAGGAATAAAACAGTCATCATTCTCAAAGGAAGCAAATTGCTTGCTTTTCATGAGTTCAAAATTAGAAATCATGTTCCCAGGTGAATTAATTAGGGAGTGAAATTCTGCTGCACAGGAAACTGGGCTAATTTGCAATAAGAGTTCCTGACCGAGATTTGCATATTTAAAAAGAATAGAGTCAATATTCCTGATCGCATGCCACAAGCCACGTTCAAAGTCAAACAACAAAGAAACATGCAATGCAACTGGCTCCAATTCAAACATATATTCTAATTATAGGCTTCATCTGAATTCAATTACTGTTTGCCTGTAGTGTTGTTCAATGTTTTTAGCAGGAATAACGTAAGATCGGTCACAAAGAAATGCATTTTTCACTTTATTCAGAAATGACTGAAAACCAGCAAATGTTAAAAAGTTTTCTCCACTTCACAGCCCATCCATCGCCTTATTTGTAGAAATAATTTCTGAAGCTGATGAGAAATGGTCCTATATCGACATGGCACAATTTGGAAATGGGCAGAAACATCATGTGCATTTCAATGCATTTCGATGTGTTACAGCCTCAGTAGACAGGTTTGTGCACGTATTGTAGTGATTCCAAATTAGGTGAGGCGAGAAGTAGGCAATATAACTCGGGTTTATTTAGCTAGATTGCTCTACTAATAGAAGCAATGCTACATCTCTTCCTGGGTCATTAAAAGGTCTGACGAGAACACCTTTCTTCTAAATTTTGTTGAATGAGCTAAAAGGAAACATCTATTTTAGATTGGTATAGATAAGTACCATAATGGAATCTTGTTTAAGTATCGGAACAAAACCCTTCACAGTACGTTTATCACATCAGAGCTCATTAACAGATAAGGTATCCAGGATTGTATTATACATCAAATTCAATTGATCACTAAATTCTATCATCATTACAGACTACCAGAAGACTAATACAATAGCACCGAAGGGGATCGATATTTGTTCTGAGGTGATAGCAATGAAGTGCATGTAGCTTTCCTGGAAATGCAATGTAAGGAATTGATTTGTGGAAAAAGCATTAAAATAATCAATCAGTTCATTGTACAGCTACAGTGAAAAAGGCAAACAAGGTACAAAAATGCATTAGCAGACAGAATACACTGGAAGTTATATTGTTATGGATAAGAAACATGTTTGACTCCAATAGGAGTATAGTGGACTGCATATAATAGAACTCTTCCGGACTGCATTTTAGACCTCGTGGGATGAATTGCCAGGAAAGAAAGGCATTTAAAGTCAGCGGTACAAATAAATTCAGAGACAAGGATACATTTCCAGCAAAGAAATATTAAGGAATACGGTGAAAACTATTAAGTAAGTAGCAGTGAGTTTGGTCAAATAGTCTTCTATTTATTTTCTTTGTTCCTAACACTTTGAGATGGCGAATTGGCGAACATTCAGCCAGAAACAACCGCTTAAAACTATAATTCATGACAAAAGTGGTTTACATATATACGTCTCCACCAACTATGCAGAATCTGTAAATATGCGAGGGTTAGGGATGTAACAGTAAGATAACTGCTGGGAATTCCTTACCTCCAATGGTACACAATGAACACATTTACCCTTTGGACCATGCCGGCATCTACCAAAAATACAAACAGGAAAAATGAACGAATAGGAAACACATAACTCTTCAGCAACATTTAAGAAAAGTTAAGACGGAAAAGTGATGTTTTAAATTTCTCTCCAACAGATCTGAAGAATATGAACTAAAGAATAAAACCTATTAAAATCTGATTTACTGCAGGAAACGCCTTAATGTAAAAAAACCACACTATACGGTACTGAGCACCTGTGATGTTTACACAGAGATTCGATAAAGATGTTTCCTGAACATTCGGCTTTTTTGGAGGGTTCCCCTAAAGCATCATTTCAGTTGCAGCTGATAAAACACAAGCTGCCTAACCAGCTAGACTCAAGAAACGGAAATCAACACAATCTTGGTCTTGCCAAGACATGGTGCTCTATAATTTGAGTCCCACAGTGTGGAAATCTGTCACGTCTGAGCCCTCAAGAATTTCAGTTAAATAGTCATTTCTATTAATGGAACAAGATGGTAACTACTAAAAATCCCACAGACTCGGGGAAAATCATCAAAAAATCACAAAGCAAACATGATTAAACATTTAAACGTCTCAAGTGTACAATATGGGGGGATGACACATGTACAAAAGCGCTTTAATGATCGTTGCTTTTCTTTCCTTGTAAGCTTCCAGTAAATTTTATGTTGTTAAGATCATTCAGTAATGACTGGAAAAAGTAATTTTCCTGAAAATGCAGGCTATCAATCACAAAACTAAATCCCAGTCAAAGCCTGACATCAAATTGTTTCATCTCAGGTCACATTTTAAAGCATTTTATCTCAACCAACCACAAGAGAACCCGGTGGTATATTACACAATAATGATGCTTATATTTCATGTAGCACCTTATGGTGTCTCAAATCACTTCACAGAATATATTGTAAAGTGGATTGACTGTTTATTTTGTGGGTGAAACACAGCAGCCAGTTTGTGCACAGCAATGTCCCACAAACAGCCATAGAGTGACCAATTTTATTAAATAATAATAATCCTTGTATTTGATATAGCGCTTTTCACTTCAAAGCACTTCACACAGACTGTAAAGTGAATTGACTGTATATTTGAGGGCAAAATGCGGCAGCCAATTGCGCACAGCAGTGCCCACAAACAGTCGTGGTTTGAAGTGACCAATTTATTATTGTTTTGTTTTCTTGAGGGATTATTATCAGGCGTGTGGAGTAAGGAAACTTGGCCAAGGTTTCACACTGCCAGGAATCGAACCCAGGTCTCTCGCTTGCAAAGCAAGTGCTCTAACCTCTGAGCTACAGGATGGGCCAAGATACCAGGAGAAACTCCCGTCTCACTATTTCATCTGATTTAAATATGCAATGTAGTTGGTATTTTACTCTACTGGAGGGGAAATCTGTTATAGAATGCCCTCTACCCGCTGCTAGCACCAAACTGGATAAAGAGACTCATGGCCAGGCTAACACCTGTAGCAAACAGTTTCGGAACATTGCTAGAGAGCTAGGCTAGAAGTATTCAATTCCCTCCCCTTCCTTCCCTCTTAACATAAACGTGTAGAACAAGGAGATGGGAGTTGAAGAAAGAGGACACAGTCAAAACAGAGCAATACTTCCACGGAACAAAAGGTATAAAGTGAAGCCTGTGAATGTGAACTCTGACAGAGTTGGAACCTGACAACGTAGCCAGAGCTTTATACATTCAGAAACTCTTACAGTTGTGCGTCCCTGTTTCTGTAAATTTTTCCATCTTGTTTATTTAGAATCTGGTCAATCTCGTCCTCTACAAAGGCTGAAGCTGTAGGTGCGCTCCCAAGAACGGCTCCTCCCACACACGAAGTCTGCATGTACTGAGTGGAAGTGCTAGGAGCACCCGCTAGAAAGAGGAACAGCATGTCTCCATGTCTAAGGGGGACAAAAGGTCAGAAACACATTATTGGGCTTCGCTACAGACTTATCAAATAAATTACTGAACACTACATTTAAAGAGCGATTCAGAGGACAAAGTGAACAGCTCAACTCCTGAAAGATGGAAGACAAATCATTTCAAGCTGGTGATTTTCAACTTGAAGAAAAGCTTGTATCCTTTTCTGGAGCTACCGGATTCTACAAGTAGTTAATAGAAACGGCACAGCATGCAAGTTACGCCAGGAAACCTCTGCATGATGTAAAGTACACATCCACACATCTTACCTGCAATTTATTGAACAGAGTACCTGACTTGTCAGGCGTGCACTTCACATGATGAAAACAATCTACTGAAACTTGAGGATTTCAAGGTGGTTGGTATTTTGTCGGATTCGCTGACTAAAATCGATAAACCCGTTTGACTATTTAATAAGCTGTCTTAGCCCATTCATTTTATTTGGCAAATTGTGACAACTGAACATGGGAGTCAACTGGAACAAAGCGACATTATCATAAGTTGGATAATTCGCACTACCAGGTGACTCCTTTGAAGCCAATTCTTGTTCAATCAATTTCTTTCACAAAGAAAATCAGTTCTGTCGAACGTTCTTCACTGCTTAAAACTAATTTGTTAGAATACCAGCACGTACTTTATCCTAAATAAAGAGAGGGGTTTGTTCGATGCTGCACAGATCTCTCCAGTTTTATTTCTGTTAAGGTACACAGAAAATTCATTGTTAGACAAACCAAACTCCATTGCAATCTGGAAAGAGAAGAAAAGGACATCAATTACAATAGGATTCTGAAATCTTAAAACTTAAACCCTAAACACTTTCTACACATTTTGATTTAATTGGTTATCTACATTCTGTCCCTCAATGATTACCTGCAGACCACTCATTTCTAATTTACGTATCAAGATAAATTACCAGCATCATAGTTGATGCCCTTATAAGACATGTTAACCTGAGTGAAAGACTCTGCTAGTGAAAATACTACCATTTGCATTCTGACTAAACTAGAGAATTTTCAAGGGGTAGCATAAAATTATTTCTAAATGGCTCTATTCTAAAATAACAATTTGGTGAATACTTTTTAGCCTGTAGAAGTAGAGCATTTGAACAAGGCCACAAGCTTATCCGAAAATGACAATTCACTTTCTTATTTGTCTTGCAGCAGCTTTGGGTTCATCTGACTCCAAACCTGTGTTTTTTTTTGCTTAGCACACACTTTCACCTCAAGCAAGTAGCCCTGGATAGCACTCAGGAGCAACAACCCTGGCCACTGCACCTCTCTTAATCTTGAGCCATTGAGGCCACTTCCTGCACACATAGTGCTGAACCAACAGAGTTAAGCTAATTTAGCATTGGTCATAGATTGAACCTAGGACATGCCTCTTGAATAAACATACTGATTTTGTACAACTAATAAGAGATAAAATAATTAGGCTTGGGAGAAACACTTCAGGCTATGATTTCAAAAAGCACTATTTTATTTACAGGTTTAATGTCATGATTCCCCATATTTCTCAAAATGTTAATTATGAATTCCTTTATATTAAATTTGACCCTAGTGCCTGCTATTATTTTTTACATTTCTGATGAACTGTAGAAATGGCAACTAGTTCATATAGACAAGTGTGTGTAAACTTGGGCAGCAAATACAATATAATGTCACAATTAAAATATGGTATCAGAATTAAAATATTTAACAGCGAGAAATAAACTTTCCTTCAAAGAAAATAACTTATTACCTTCTTCAAAAACTGAGCTCCTGTTTCTCGTTTCCCCACACTAATTCGCTTTACACCATCCGGCGACTGGACACGAACAATCTAAGAAAAAGTGTAAAGACTTGTAATTTAAAGTTAAGTTCATCAACGCACCTTGAATACGAATGTGATTGTACGCGATCAATTGTAGATCAGCTGAGTATGTGAATTTATCAACATTAGTATCAGCATTCAAGCTTTGCTGGTTTATTCGCCCTCCCCCACCCCCCCATTCTCCTTTCTTCTTTTCTTCTAACCCAGATACACGATTCTAATGTAACAACTTCAGTCCGTCTTAAAAAGATTCATTATAATTTTGCTGCTGTACACCCAACCCTAAGGCAAGCTCACTAAAAAGTTCTTAATGCTATATATGGAGTAAATAGAGAACCCCAGGCAGAAAGAGGAGCGAATCAAAGTGCAATTCGAATGCATTTATCTCTGTAAATGTGAAAGTAAACATCATAATTCCCGTCTTCAGCCCGTGATAAAAAATATCACGGTTCAACGAGCACACAGTACTATTAGATTCTCTATGCAAATTTCAGGATCATATATAACTCATGGCTGTTATTTAAATCCCAAACTCAGGCACTGTTAATGTACAGGAGCTATCTGACTACTTTATTTGAGGGACAGGCAAATTCAGATCAGTTGCAGAAATTGAAAGGATTGCAATTTTGGAAGGAGAGTACTCAACAGGCAGCAGGACATTCTGAAAAAATAAACTGCTCATGACATAGGGACAATCCAAGCTTAAAGAAACACACGTCTAGCAAGAACCATTGCTCATCTCACATCATCAATTACTACCTGTAGTGTATTTTCTAAAAGCCAATTTGTGAATACATGGGCCCGACAGCGAAGGCGCTAGACTGTCCAGTTCAAATTCAAGGCTCAACTGATTCATATTTTGCCTTCAATAAGTGTAAATGTGCCAATCTTGACTGGATAACTGTGGAGTCTATCTCACCCACTTCCCAGTTACACTGTGCCAAGCATCACGTGTTTTTTGACAAGTTCCATCAAGATGTTATTAGGATAGACCATTTCAGAATATGGACATTACCAAGTTCGGAGAAGGAGAGGGAAGAAATGGAGATATCCTGCTTGTTAAGTTAAATGGGAAATTATACATTTATTGGAGAATTACTGCAACCAAACAATTAACTAATTCCAGGAGTCAATGCATCCAGTAACAAAACAATCATTTGGTATTGTTTGCTTCCATACATCACTTCCAGCTCGATTGAAACATGGTACTTTTGGTTGGATTAGATTACAGGTTTACCCTCCAAACCCACCCTACAGCAAATCTCCAGTCCATCTAAGGCCATTTCCTTTGCAATGCAGCATTCACTGGGGATCAGAGGCTGCTTTCAACATCAGACGACGACACCATCAAAGTATTGGTGACAATTTGCTTTTGATATAGCGCCTTATCATGTCTTCGAGACGTCTCAAAGCGCTTCACAGAATATATTGTAAAATGAATTGAATGTTTATTTTGTGGGTGAAAAAATAAAGCATCAAGCACTCTATGGTTCTCACTAAACTATCTGTTTTTTTTAAAAAGTCTAGCTGAGAAATGATTTTTCTGTGACTTACTCTATCCAAGGTGTCCAACTTAACTTCTATAAGCACTCTTCTTGTCCACAAACAATGGTGTTAAAGATGTTTAACATGTTTAATATGTTTCGGGTCCACGACCCTTCTTCAGAACCAGCCTTTCGTCTGAGTTCTGACAGAGGCTTGTGGACCCGAAATATTGACTCACTTTTCTTTCTTCATAGATGCTGCCTGACCTGCCGAATGTTCCCAGCGACTTCTGCTTTTGTTTTAGATTTCCAGCATCTGCAGTATTTTGCGTTTTGTTTATGTTTGTTGATGCTAATTCCACTCCATCTTATGCTCAAAAAACTCCAGAGACAGTGATGTCTTTCAAACGCGCTGTTGAATGTTCCTTCTGCTTTCAATTTGTATTTTGTAATTTATTTGTTTCTTTTTCATTTATTTACCTTCATTTATTTACACCGCTCTCCAAAACACACCACCAAACATGCAACAGATCTTCAGCTCTTAGAGGCTGTTCATTTGTGATTTGTTTTTCTTCATTATTTTGAAGCTACTACAATTTCTAATCATTTGCTGGTTTAGTTTTTCCCAATGTCTCACTTACACTAGCTCATTCTATTTCTTCTTCCCTGCAATACATAACTAAATCGATCATCGTTATTCTAGCTCCATTTCAGTGTTAATGAGAGCCGCACAAGATTACTGCCTATTCAATAGGATTGTGGTAAAATATACACGCAACATTGAGTAGAACTATGAGTACCATTTTCTGAGTCTCTCTTCCATCTGTTGCCTCACTCCTTCCAGCACAAAGCAGTATAGATTTCAAGAACAGCTGTTAGGTACCTTTTTATTCTTTACAAATTTAATGAATTAAAGACACCAGCCGCTTTCTCGACGATCTGGTTTCTATTTTCAAGCAATGCTGGTGCAAGCAGTATCGTAAGCCTCCTCTTTATAAATGCGATCTCCATTTCTTGTCATGAAGACTGCAACTTGCCCAAATGATTATCCCTCAAAATGTAAATAGCGATTGTCAGCACAGTAGTCAACTGGCGGTGGGAGGGAAAGGGAAAAGGGTTGCAACAGCATTGTCCAATCCTGTCTTCGTACTGGGATACGTCCACAAATGTTCCCTTTCCAACAGAGGGTCACAAGACGGTGATCAGGAGCAGGGCTCCTGAGTGAGGTTTTTTTTCTCCCCCCCTCTCCCTGTACCGGGGACACGGAGACTGATTACATCACCCACCTGCTATCCAAGCTGACATCAGGTATTGCAACACAGATCAGGGATTGAACTTGTGTCAGGGAAGGCATTCACCCAGGGAAGCTCTCATTTAATAAAATAACTCGGTGACTTGTATTTTATGAACATTAATATTTGAAAAGTTAAATTCATAAAATTGTCCCGCAGTCAAAATTAGTCAAGTGGGGCTAGTAGAAATATTCTTTAATGTTACTCTGGCAGCAGTTACAAGCTAAATGATTGCACCTTTCTCATACTGGCATAAAACCAGACATTCTGATCCATGTTGGACTAGGTGACTCATTAATGAATGTACACAAAGGAATGAAAAATACTAGTTGAGTGACTATGTTCTGCATTGATCAGCATTTGAGAATATTCAGTGTTACTCAGCATGACACACTACAAAGGGAGACATGACAATTTGGTCTTCCCAACTGTGGAGAAATTAACAATTTAATGCTTAACCGACCACTTCCAGATTGTCACAAAGGTTGCTGGACGACTGACCTCAGTTTGAGAGTCCAGTCCTGACCATTTTAGACAACAGGTTATAATAAACCCATCATACACTTTACAATTATATAAAACAAATTATATGGCGGTAGGGCTATTGGTGGGTTAGATTTTATGAACGCTTGTTTTGGGGAAAGAGTGCTCATCTAGTTGATTTTTCCAAACCTCCTCCTGAGACTTTAGTTTTAAGGCCCAATTGTCTTAATCTGCTGCCTCATTCTCTGAGCGCTGCTGGACTGAATGAGCCAGTCCAGATCCGAGGAAGGAAGTGGGACACACACATTAAGACCCAGTTCAGGTGTTTAACAGACAAAGCCATAGCATTTCCTTTCAACTTATTTTACAACTAATTTTTAAACACGTGTGTTTCTCTCTCTCTCTCTGTCTGTCTGTCTCTCTCTCTCTGTGCTGCGACTCTCAAACCTCACACTGAATGGCATGTAAAAGGAGAAAACCACCGGATGAGAGGAGAGAGAGGGAGGGAGAGGGTGTGGGAGGGGGAGAAAGAATGACACCTCAATGGCCTCATTCGTACCCCTGCAGTTAGAAGCCTCTATATCTCTTGGCCCCAAATCACCTCTTTTCCCTTCTCGGTAAACTCCCCAACTGTTTAGTTTGAGAGGCTTCGAGGTCGAAGGCCCCTACACACACCCGCCCCAACCAGAGAGAGACAGACACACATCCACCCCACCAGAGAGACACACATGCGCGCAGACCACCCACCAGAGGCACACCACCAGACGCACACACACAACCAAACACAGGCGCGCGCGCACACACACACACAACCAGACACAGGCGCGCACGCACACACACAACCAGACACAGGCGCGCGCACACACACCCAGACACAGGCGCGCACGCACACACACAACCAGACACAGGCGCGCGCGCACACACACACACACAACCAGACACAGGCGCGCGCGCACACACACCCAGACACAGGCACACACACCCAGACACAGGCGTGCGCGCGCACACACAGACACAGGCGCGCGCGCACACACACACACAGCCAGACACAGGCGCGCACGCACACACACACACACAACCAGACACAGGCGCGCGCGCACAGAGACAACCAGACACAGGCGCGCACAGACACAAGCAGACACAGGCGCGCGCGCACACAACCAGTCACAGGCGCGCGCGCGCACAACCAGGCACAGGCACGCACACACCCAGACACAGGCACACACACACACCCAGACACAGGCACACACACACACCCAGACACAGGCACACACACACCCCCAGACACAGGCACACACACCCCCCCAGACACAGGCACACACACACCCCCAGACACAGGCACACACACACACCCAGACACAGGCACACACACACCCAGACACAGGCACATATACCCAGACAGACACATATACCCACACAGGCACACAAACACCCAAACACAGGCACACACACACCCAAACACAGGCACACACCCAGACACAGGCACACACACAGACACACACACACACCCCAGACACTGACACACACACACACAGACACACACACACAGACACACACACAGACAATCAGACTGACAGACACACACTCTCCCTCTCCCAGCCCCGGCCCTGACAGCGTTGTCCCGGCTGCTCCAGCCCCGGGTTCAGCCCCCAGGGCCCCAGTAAAACCCCCTCCTACTCACCCTCCCTCCCTCCCTCCTTCCCCTTCTCTCGCTCCCTCTCTCCCTCTCTCTCTCTCCCTCCCTCCCTCCCTCCATCCCTCCCTCCCTCTCTCTCCTCCCTTCCCCTCCTCCAATCTGCTGCCTCATCGCCCTGTGCCCGGGCTCCACCGCTAGGCCGCGGCCTCGGGGCGGGAGGGGGGGAGTGGAGGCGCTTTACAAAGGGTCCGCGAGAGAGAGAGAGAGAGAGAGAGGAGGGGGTACAAGAGAAGGTCAGGGAACTCGAGCCGTGACTCACCATCGGCTCGGCCATGGCGGGGGCTCCGGGGGTGAGGGGGTCTCTCGGCGGCCGCGGCTCCGCGATTCCCCGCGGCTCCAAATTCGGCCTCCAACCGCCTGTCACTGCGCGTCACCTACAAAGCGGTCCCGGTGCCGCGCGGCGTCAGGTAAATAGTTCCGCCGCGCGGACAGTCCCCCCTCAACACACACACATACACACACACACACGTCAGATAATACAATGCAATGACATCAACAATAATAGTGACCCACAATCACCATCTGGACAGTGTTAATGTGAGCAATGACAACAATATCCATCAATGACAATAATATCCATCAATCACAACACTATCCATCAATGACAATAATGTCAATCAATGACAATAATGTCAATCAATGACAATAATGTCAATCAATGACAATAATGTCAATCAATCACAACACTATCCATCAATGACAACAATATCCATCAATGACAACAGTATCAATCAATGACAACAATATTAATCAATAACAACAATATCAATCAATGACATTAATATCAATCAATGACAACCATATCAATCAATGACAACAATATCAATCAATGACAACCATATCAATCAATAACAACAATATCAATTACAACAATATCAATCAATAACAACCATATCAATCAATGACAACAATATCAATCAATGACAACAATATCAATCAATAACAACAACAACACCGACCCGATTGATAATAGTATTACTGGTAATCGCAATCGTAACGTTCACAATATTATTAATAATATTAACAATAATTGTTTTTAACAATGTTCATAATAATAATAATAATAATCCTTGCATTTGATATATATATATATATACACAAGAGGATGCCTTAAAGTGCTTCACAGGATTTTACTGTAAAGTGAAGTGACTGTTTATTTGTAGGAGAATGCAGCAGGCAACTTGAAGGCAATGTGCCACAAACCTCTAACAGTGAAGCACTCCTTGAGCACTCTATTGACGTGTCACTCTGGTATATGTGAGTTCAAAGTCCTGACGCGTGGGTTGAATTCACAACTTTCTGACTCAGAGGTGAGAGTCCTAGTAACTGAGCCAGGTTCTTCATCCCCCTCCTGGAATACCCATCGTACCATCTGCCCATGACAATATAATGCTAATCCTAGAAATTTACACAGTGTCATAGATTCTACGACCCTTCCCGATATCCCAAGTGAAGGCTTGATTGTTCTATGTAAAGAAATACTTCCGAGTGTCTGTTCTGAGGTTGCCATTCACAAATTTGAACCTGTGTCCTCTTGTTCTGATGCATTGGCATATCTGAAAGTATTGTTCTAGGTTTACTATCTCCTTCCCATTTATCTTTCAATGCCATGAATAATTATGCCCTGGCCATAACTCAGAACTGGTGAGTTTGCATGGTCAGCTTGAATTATAGTCATATAGTCATGGTCAGGCTTGAATTCGATCTGGCCAGTGGCAGGGGTTGTTATAAAATAAAAGGAAATATAGGTAGGAAACTGCAAATTGGAGAGGATTGATGAAAGAAGATGACGATTTGAAGAAGCAAGAGAAAAGTCGCTTGACCTGAGATTGGCAAGATCATGCAGATAGAAGACATTGGGTCCAAGGGATGGAATGGAATGGAAGTGTGAACAGTCTCACAGGGTGAGTTACGGAGGACAGGTCACAATGAGAAGTAAAATTGTTTGACATTTATCGCTCACTTTGTTGACATCCTTGTTTCTGTACAGTGAATGAATCAAACACTAGAAAATGTCAGTTACCCAATCAAGTGGTATTATTCAGAAGCACTGAGGAGGTTAAGGGTTACTAAATATAGCCAGCCAAGTTTAACAATAAAAATGTGATTTCAGAGTGCTTGAGAGAAAATAAAAAAACTCATTTAGTGAGATTGTAAAAGGCAATCAAGGAGATAAAGTTCTCTGTGTTTCACACAATGAATTACTTTGGAGTGCAATGACTTTTTCAATTTATCAGCCGTTAAACTAATAAAGAGATTAGTGCCATTTATTTTAATATCAGATTACGTTGTGCATTAATATTTTAACCAAAGTCAACATTTTAATTAATGTTTGAGTCAATAGTGAATTATATGAGTGATTGGATTGCAAAAAGGTTAATGGAATAAGAACAAAGTGAAGGAATGAATTATTTAAATAAATCATTGCATTACGCAACACATGTTATTGTTTCAGTAATGAACTGTACATTATCAGTCAGTAAACATGCAGTGATTATACCACAATGGCTAACCCTTCTGTGTTGGCTTTATGACGCATGAACATCAGGGTTTGCTGTGGTGTTATTCATGGCACTGAAACACCCACTGTCACCAAAACAAATTTTACACTTTTTCATCCGACAGATGGGATATAAAACCAAGGCCCTTCTTGTCTGTTTCGGAAGACATTAAAGGCTTTTTAGAACTGAAGAACATTTCGATTCATTTCTCATTACTCATTTTTCTAACACTGGGGAGGATCCTAGTTGTTCTCCACTGCACTGCCTCCAGTTGCTGCAACCAGAAATGTGCACCAATCTTTGAGTGTGACTTCTGAATGCAACAAGCTTGGTAATATAGCCCAGTATCCTGTTTCCCTTGTTTATTTCTGCCTCATGCTGTTTAGATGATAAGTAATGAATCAGTTAACACCCCTAGGTATCTTGCAGCTTCTGGCAGGTTCTGTTCCATCGGTCAAATACAAATTAGTTTAGTCCTATTCTTATTTATTACAACAACAACAAATTTGTATTGCGCCTTTCGCATCAGGAAGTACTATTGTAATGTAAGGTATTTAATACTTTACATTTATCTGTATTAAACTTAATTTGCTAGTCATCGGCTATGCACTATCAAGCTTCCTTTGCTGCCTCCTCTGATTCCACAGTTGTCCCCCAACTAAGTGTCACCTGCAAATTGAAATATGCTGCACTGAGTTATATATCCAGATCTGCGAGAGCAGTTGCAGTACTAAAATTGGCTTTGAGAGAGTGAAAATCAACCACGATTTCGCTCCTGATCACTATCCAAAGCCTGCTGCAGGAAGGGATATTTGGATGTTGAGTCTTCAAAAGAATATTCTAATCTGCGATACTCTCTGCAATCAAATAGCCTTCTGTCAAAACTCACACGTGAATAATGGTCATTCTGTGAGCCACTGTGGAAATAATAATAATAATCCTTGCATTTTAATATAGACGTCTCAAAGCGCTTCACCGAATATACTGCAAAGTACATTGACTGTATTTTGTGAGCAAAACGCGACAGCCAATTGCGCACAGCAGTGTCCCACAAACAGTAAAGTAAATGTACCCCTGCTCTGTAAAAATACCTTCACGAAAAAAGACTCGTGCAGTTTGCTTTCCTACCACTCTGTGTCACTATAAGGCTTGACAATTTCTGAACCATTTTAATGCGCTTCTAGCTTTACAAGTCAAATTGAGATAGTGGTCTGTTTTTCTCTGCAGCGTGTAATCGACGATGATATATATTCATATTCTCCCAAGTTACATATGTATTATATTGGGATAGGTTTTCTTGTTAGTGCATGTAGTACAATGGGATGCGATCTCTCAATCTTCTTCGGACGACAGCACAATGTGTGTGATGCGGAGACCTTTGTGTCGATTTGCCACCAATGTGGATTGAGCCAGAGCCCGGCTATCTACACCACCTGGAACAAAGGTGTCAAACATACGGCCCATATCAACTGTTGCCTCATTTTCAGATAAAGTGAAGCAGTTATATACAGCCAAATAGAATCGTATGTTGTTTCTGTCTCTATATTAAATTAAGGAGGCATCAGGAAAGACAAAGAGGGAAGAGTTAATTGCATAAATTTTTCTCTGCTCTCCTCCCATCCCTTGTCAAAATTGGGAAGCCTAAAGTTGTAAATCCATAAATAATTGCAACAATTATAACTCACTAAAAGTCCTCATATTAAAATTCCATAACAGCACATTATTGCACGCTAATCCAAAATTCCAGTGTTTTAAAAGCATTTGTGCTCAATACACAGTAAAAAGGAATATGAGTTTACTGTGAAAGCATCTCATTTTGCAGTACTCAATGGAAAACCAAGAGGTAAGACTTGACTGAATTACATTTCTTAATCCATTCTACTGACAGCGAGTTACCCAGTGACCTGCTCAGATAAAAATGGATACAGATGATAATGGGTGCTAATCCTATTTGCTTGGGACAGCTGTACACTGGCTACAGTAGCTAGTGAATGGAAAAGGTGGATTGAAAAGTCTAATCTCTTTCCTCGTACCTATGCATACACCAGTGTATAAAACAGAACCACTACATCCCTGGCACTTCTGCTGACTGTAAAGTGCTCAAAATCTATAGAAAGAGATAAGTGAAAGAGCTAATCCCATCAGTGAAGAAAGAGAGCTCCATTTTTTGTTGAGTCCAGAAATGGTAGGTTTCATTAATGAGTCATAACAGAGTATAGTACAAAGCTATTTACATTTATGTAGCACCTTTCATATTGGATGGATGTCTCAAAGTACTTGGCATTGCAGGCTGGGCCCGGACCTGGTGGAGGGTGGTGCAGAGGGGAAAGGTAACTGAAAGAAGAGTCAAAGAGGTATGTCTTCAGATGGGGCTTGAATAGGGTCAGGGATGGAGTGGGCAAGTCGGAGGGACTCCGGGGTGAAGTTTCCGGAGAGCAGGGTCAAATTAACACTTGACTGAATTACGTTTCTTAATCCACTTTACTGACAGCAAGTTACCCAGTGACCAGCTCAGCTAAAAATGGATACGGATGATAATGGGGGTTAATCCTAGTCACTTAAGAAAGCTTTACAGTGGCTAGTGCAGTCAGGAAAGAGATATATTATGGTACCACAGCCAGACTTTAACTAAACTGATATGTCATTCATCTTGCTTCAAACAACAGTGTCACAATACAAAGATTTTTTAACAAAGACTAAAGGTTTATTTTGATCAGTCGAATTCACGGGCTCTGACATTGTTAGAAATGGGAAACAACAACAACAACAACAAATGACATTTGTATAGCGCCTTTCATGTTAGGTGATTCGAACACATCCTGAACTAGAGGCCTGAATCAGTGGGTCCACGCTAGAAGCGAGAGCGGGGCTCCCCCAATG